TCCTATTGATATGCCAGGGGTAAATGAAAAATAAGTTAATGATGATCAAATTTTCTCAGTTATGTGGTTGATTTGGTCCCTGCAGAAAAAAATTTACACTCAAGGCAAATATCAGAATATTATATTCTTATCTACAACAATTTACATCTACCTACAGTATTAACAGTTTCACATACCGTCAATGGGTCCCCCAACTCCTCCAAAGAAGAATTCCATGAGTTATTCCAAGAGTCAAATTTAGGCCCTGTAGGAGATAGATTCCACGGTTTATGCGAGAGAAGGTTCTAACTACAAATTTTTCTTCCCTATCCAAAGTGAAAATGGTAATTTAAAAAATGAGAAACAATCAGCTGAATAATGCGAAAAGCCTAGCTTACATGATAGTTCACCACTAAATAGATGCTGATCTTCTTTAACAAACTGAAATCCTAGAAACCTGCAAGATAGTTTAACTATTTGATTAAAAAAAAAAAAAATTTGAAAACCTATGAATCACCTTTATCTTGAACTTAAGTTAATGAACTAAATTTCTCTAAAATTTCTTTACAATATAAAATTAGAGATAATAAGGGATAAATTTTAAAATGATAGATATACTTTCAGATATTTACTCAACCCAATATCCATATAGCTTAATTTTCTTGTTTCAACACTGTCAAGTGTTGTCCGTTACACCTTACCAAACATGTCATAATATTCAGGATCCGGCTGCTCGATCCTAACATATATACGAGGTGATTTCCCTTATCATAATCCAATGCAATATGGGATAGCTTAGTTCCTAAATTAGTAATTTTATTGTCTAAAAACATAGGTCATCGTACAGGCTGTTGTACAAAATATAACAAAGTAATACCGATTCCACATGTCTTCTCTTTCACTATATATGTGAAGCACCTTACCAGGTAATACCGAAGAAGCCAAACATGTAGAATACAGACTCCCATCCATAACTTTGTATTAGTGGAGGAGCCAAAAGAAGCCTGCAGGTTCATAAATGTAAACATTATTAGTGAGAAAGCACTGATCATATTCTGTCTGTAAAATTGACAGGTAACTAACTGAAGTATTATTTGGCTTGGCTTTTCATCATACAAATCTTGAATTGCGATGGAGCGTATATAAAAGAAGTGTATGTGAAATTTTTGTACTCTAGTTGCTAGCACAAAACTCAATAGGCACCAATATCTGAATTAACATTTGACTGGCGTGGTTGAACAAGGAATTCTTGCAGTACAAAGATTAATGTAGAATACAATAATATGATGCATAATTAGGGACACATCAATGATCTTGTGTTCAATGATTATTACCCTAAGACACTTCCAACACTCAAGCCACCAAAAACAAATGATACTGCTCGTGAGCGCTCTTCAATTGGTATGGTCCTGCACACAAGCCAGAATAACATCATATACAACATAAGTGAATAAAAATACATGGCTTTACAAATCTTTTGAAGGAAGAAATTTTACAAACCATGTGAAGATTAAATTTTACTAACAACGAATAAATGAGTATATATTACATGCAGGAGGAAGATTATCCAAACCTTTTTCCTTAGATCATTTCTCTTTCCTTCTTTTTTTGTGATTTTTTTTCCCCTTTTTACTGAAGAGAAAGCAACCAGGTGGCAGAGTATCTATGGAGTCGTATAAATGATATGAAACAATTCATCCAAACAGCAAACCTGGCAATCAGATCAGTAGCAGCTGACGGTGAAACGCCTTCTCCCATTCCAACCTGAAGTATCAAAATTGATAAATCTCATATGAGTTAATTAGAAGAATAATGACGAGATTCTTCACCATTGTATTAATTCGGGATGAAGGATGCTAAAACGATAGCCTAAGACACAAGCATTTCTTCAATATTTTCATGCATAAATAGACACATGTGATCGCTTAGAACTTGTCGCCAAGCGCAATCTCAGATTCTATGAAATTACCAATATCCTGGACAAAATAAGTCCAGGCATAAAGCCAGCGAGAATAGGAACCAGTGCTGTGGCCAGTGACCAGGCCAGGACCCCAACCTCAAGAACTTTTCTGAGAGGGATAACAGAAATTGATTAGAAACAAGCTTGATTAAGACAAAAACAAATCTAGGAAGAAACACATGCTCCATCCAAAAACAAATAAAGCAACGAAGAGGATCATAACGAGTTGTGTTAATGATTTCCTTTTTTGCTGGATCAAAGTAAATGATATAGTGGCAGCTTTCCACTGGACAGCAGAGAGAAATACTATTAGCGCTGGAAAAAAGAATAAAAAAATAAAACCTTGTGCTTCTTATAAATCAACATGAGTTTTTACTTGTCAACTGTGCTTAAAGACCAGAGTTTATTCCTGTCATTGTAATGGAAGTAGTACTTCCATATTTAAAATTTGCATAATTACTTTACTTTCCTAGCGATGTAACTCAAGAGGTAACTCAGGTAAGGCCTTATACCCCCTTTTTTACTTCCTGGTTACAGGTAAGGGATAGAGTTAACCTGCAACATATGCCTGGGTAGAAGCCTAAAAACTTCTGCTTAGATGTGGTTGGATTTTATTATTATTAATGATAATTATGGTTGGATATTATTATAGAAAAACAAATCTGTACTATTGGTTAAATGTCGATTTCATAAAGCTACTTGAGACCAGAGGCCGGTAAATATCGATTTCATAAAGCTACTTGAGACCCCGGGAGGGGGGGGGGGGATTAACGTCTCTCCTCTCCTTCCGAATAATATCTATTTTGACTGAAGAAAATGTCAAAATTATCAAAGCTTCGAGATAACTACTGAGTTCCTATAACTTCTCTTCCAATTAGAGTAGGGTTTTACCTTTTATGCTTTGATCATACAATATAGCTTCATGGTTGCACCAATTAATTATTTGAACTTCAGTAAGATTTTTATTTCTATCTAATTAAAAATAAAAAATCCGGAATTACATGAACCTATTAACGAATATCATATAGCTAGACAACTAACCTTCCTCCGAATATCTTAGCAAGCCAGCCTCCAGGCAACTGGCTTAGTGCATACCCCCAAAAGAAAGATGATTGCACCAATCCAGCCACAGATGAATTCCATCCAAACTCGTGAGACATCGGAATTATAGCAACACTCAGATTCACCTATTGGGGGAAAGAATGTCAGTCTTTGTTTGACATTAATTACAGCTACCTACAGAACAATATTTTACAAGGTTCATCACTTGCTCGAAACTTTTCTTATGAAAGCATTTCACGTTATTCCTGTTACACATTACAGTTGATCCAACGTAAGCACCCTAAGAGATTACCAAGCAACAATTTTTTCTTTCTTTCTGAAGAAAAATAGGAATTCTATTATTCCAATTAATTATTCAACCCCGGGTAATTACCCTACTTCTATCTGGTACATGTATGGAAAATAAGATGGAAGTTAAACATTTTTCCTCTTTAATCAAAAAAAAGATAGGCAAGGAACTTGCAACCCCAATAGGCAAGTATAAAAAATTTCACTTTGCCAACCATAGTTTCTTTTCCCTTCATCTTTCGACTTACCAAACCCACCCTCAATAGGCAAGGAACTTGCAACCCCAATTATTAAAAAATCCCTTAGAATTTCAGTATAAAAACAAATCCATGGTTCAATTTCACAAGAATATATCAAACAAGGTAATAAGAAATTTTAAAAGTAAAAAGTTTCGAAAATAAAAGGCAAGAAATTTACCTTATCCATATTGCAAATAATGAAGGCCAGAGATGTAGTTCCAATGAGCTTATATCTTTGAGGAAGATTCTTCCATGGCGGATTCCAAACAAAGCCTACTACTTTTTCCCCAATCTCAGCCTCCAATAAACTAACCTTCTCCTCCAATTCATCATTCACTTTAAGCCCTTTAAGTATTCTACGTTTTTCTTCAGCATTTTCGGTCTCTTTCTCTTTTATGCTGCAAGAAACCTTGAACCTTTTCAAGCTTGGATTAATGGGTAACCCATTCCAGTTTTGGGATTTGATAGAAGTTCTAAAGATTGAAGCTTTTTGGGTTGTGTAAGCTGGATAATAACAGATTTTGGTGTCTGGGTTTAAGGTGAACTTGGCCATCATTTTTTTCCTCTTATTTTCTTGAGGCCATAAAAAGCGGAAGAAAAAATTGAGGAAAGTGGCAAAAGACTAGAGATGTGGCAGTTAACGTAGTTTGAGAAACAGGACAATTAAGGAAGGACCATAGATTGCCACGAAGGTGGAGGATTGTGGCGTCCATTTAAATTGGATCTTTTGTATAATCTATCTTGACATCATGCTTAACATTGTCTTTGTTTTAAAAAAACGTTGGCTAGAATTTTTTTTTTTTTATTTTTAAATTCGTAAATGACTCGAAACTTGTTAATATTATTCTCTTTTAAAAGGTTGGGAGAAAAAAAAAATAGTAATATCATTACCTTAAGTGTTGGTCATCATTAATTTAGATTGGTTGGAATGTATTTTTCTTTATTAAACAATGCTGCAATGTTCCCGCTAACACATCACCACTCTAAAATATAAAAGAATAGTTGTTCTTAAATTATAATCATCTAAAATTTATTTAGCAGTACTTATTATATTTTTATAAAAGGTAAATGGGATCTAATTTTTTTTTTTAAAAGTCAAAAATGAATTAAAGTCCATCCTTAACTTAGCTTTGTTAAAATAATTAACTATTCTTGCAGCATATTCTGCGTATCCTGTTGCAAAAACTTAGAGAGATCTTGATTCGAGCTACTGCAATAATTGGTATTAGAGCTTCAAAGTGGTGAATTTGACTAAAAAATCGACCTAAAAACTGGCAGGATCAAAGCAAAAACAGAAACACAGAATCTGTTTAGTTCCTTCAAAGTTGTGTTACCTGTAAATCAGTTTTCGCCCAAATTAGAAGGAGTTTGGAGAAATAAAGACCAATGACGTGACATGTAGGTGGAGGCTCTTTTGTATGGTCGGCGCGTGAGACTGATGGCGACACAGGAGACTCCGATGGTGTGCACGAGGGTGATTAACACTGATTCCAACGACAGTGTCTGAAAAAAATTCCTCTTGGAGGCATGGTGGACGCTGTGGTGGTGTTCGATTTCTATTTTAGGGGTAAAATTATGGTTCTGAACAGTTTTGCCACTTGCGTGTTCAAGTTTCTTTTTGCTTAATTGGTTGCTGCTATTGTTGGAACTTTAAACGAATAATGTGACCCTAAAGTAGTAAATATGCATTTCTCATTATTTACGGACTGTAGATTGGTCCGTCTAGTATATTGGCTTATCCTGTTTAAATTTCAATATCAACAAATTATCGTGTGAGCTAACATTAGGATTGTGTTTACCGTATGGGTAACCACTACTTGTGCTAGAATTTAGAAATTATTTACTCATATTTAAAGTGTTGAATTTAAGTGTAAGTTAATAATTTCTTTTATTTTAATTGCCACTAAGTCACTATGTGAGATTTGATTGCATGAGAAATTGATTTTTTTTTTTTTTTTTTTTTTTTTACATACCTTCATGTTGTATCGATTATTTTCTTAGAATACCTAGACTTGACCCGTTTAATCATTCCCTTGATATTGAAATCTCAAATCTTTAGAAATCTTGGGAATTTAGAATAGTGTATACTGCAAGCTTGGGAATATTTTGTGTGATCTATTTGTTACTATGATATTTTTCAAAATATCTTCAAATTTTGAAGTTAGAATTTTCAATGGAAAAGAGAATTTTTCAATTTGGCAACAAATAATGAAATGGATTTTGGTTCGACAAAAAATATCAAAAGTTATCGATGGTAAATTTCCTGCAAATTTGATAGAAGTACAAAAAGAAGAATATGATGAACTTGCTTGTACTTCAATTATTTTATACTTATCTAATATTATTTTGAGAAAATTTGAAAAACTTGATTCTACAAAAAAAAAAAAAAAAAAAAAAAAAATCGAAAAATGTTGGAGAACCTATATTTTTTAAGTCTACTCCTAATAAATTGTACTTGTTTGAAAGATTTTTCAGTTTTAAAATGAATTTTTCAAAGGATCTCGATCATAATTTGGATTTTTTAATAAACTTGTTCAAGACATTGTTAATTATGATAAAAATGTGTCTGAAACATATACGGCCATTTTTTTACTGAATTCTGTGCCTGACTCATACAAGGAGGTTAAGAATGCGGTTAAATATGGTAGGAACACCTTAACATTTGAGATTGTCACTGATTCTCTTACAAGTAAAGAGATGAAGATTAAGGTTGAAAGAGACAATAAGGGGAGTGGTAAGGTACTTATAATAAGGAGTTGTGAAGTTTAAACAAATGAGTTTGGTTAGAGCTCGAGACAGTGGTAATTCTAGTGAGGGTGGTAAGAAGGGCAAGCGTTGGACAAGTCTAGTGGTAAGCGATGTCACAGTTGTGATAAGTCTGGACACTTTATAAGAAATTGTTCCAAGAAAAAGGATAAGTAGAAGAGTAAGATGAAAGGTGAGATGAATGTTGCTTTTGGGTCGAGCATTGACCCTAGTGAGGTTTATTAAGAATACCTAATTACTGCGCGTGTATTTGTGTGTATTCCTTTCTGTATGTGTGTGATTGCTTAATTATATTATATGGTTATATGTTGTATTTCAATGTGTTGATATGTGCATTTGCATGAANTTTTGTAACTGCTTGTAGGTTGATTAAGTATCAAGGTAGAGATTTGTTGGATTTTGATACCCTATAAATCCCTGGCAAAGATGTAAAACGTGGGGTTAATAACCCAAATGGTTACTGAACTTTCAAAAATTTTTTACAGGATCACTGAACTTTAAAAATTACCTAAATCATTATTGAACTTTACAAAAGGTTTCCACAGAATCACTGAACTTTAAAAATCATCCAATTCATCACTAAATTTTGTAAAAGGTTTACAAAGGGATTACTGAACTTTGTAAAAGGTTTCCTAGGGATCACTGAATTAGTGATTCCTTGAAAAAACTTTTGCAAAGTTTAGTGATGAATGTGATAATTTTTAAAGTTTAGTGACCCTTTGAAAATCTTTTGCAAAGTTCAATGATGACTTGGGGGCTGATTTTTAAAGTTCGATGACTCCGTGAAAACTTTTTGCAAAGTTTAATGACCATTTGGGTTTATTAACTCTAAAACGTGAAATATATTTTCGCAGGTATCGGCTAATGGTGAATTGTTTAGTAATAACCAAGACTAAAGGCTCGACCTAAAAACAACGCGGACCGTTAGAAGTAGCTTAACAGATTAATGCTTCTTGATCCAACTAAAGCTTAACTTGTTCCTGTATATATGTTGCTTACTTTGGACATTGTTGAGTGTGTGATTTGTAAGTAGATAGAGAAAATCGTAGCTGCCATATTGCTGCGAAAAATTGGCTACTCTCTTGAAGGAAAAACCAGTGACTTCCTCCTTCGTTTTGGTCTCCTTTCGTGCCTTATTCATTATTTTTCTCGTGCCTTTGTGACTTGCAAATTAACAAAGTTATCTTGTCTCTTGTGGTCGAGATTGAGAAGTAACCAAGGTAAATATAGTGGTTGTGGGTCGGAACCGTTTGATTGGTTGTTTAGTAGAAAAAGATAATGTGAAACTTAGCTTGGAAAACACTGTATAAAAGATCTTTGGAGTGAGCTTCCACAAAATACGCCATACTCTTTATTCATATTTGATAGTGAATTTTACAATCAAACCCTTTTCTAATTTTGTTGTCGATAGTCATTCTCTGCTCAGTTTGAAAGAGACTTTGCATGTTTTTTTTACCTTTCTAAGGCCAATACCCCCACAATGGACTGCTACTACTTGTTGTTCATAATTTGATCCCACTTTGTCCAAGCACGCTATGTGGCCTCATCCCCATCATTCTCCCAAGAAATAAGATGATATGTCCTCTAATTGGAATTGACCTCATCCCCAGATGAATCATCATCAACACAAGAAATGAGGTGTTTCACATCGTACATATCAGATGTGCGAATATAACTCGACAACCAGAGCTGTAGGCATTTAGATTAATCTTCTCAATATTCTCAACTGGAATAATTTTTTGAGATGAAAATTTGCCGTGTTCGTGAGACGAATAACTGTCCTAAAGTGAGCAAAGACCACACAAAATCACACAATGAAAAATTAACGCCCAAAGATGTTGATCTGCTGCTACTTTGCACCGTGCATTACTGAGTTCGAGCTTAGCATTGGTAGCCTCGTTAACTTCACGCAATCTGCTGACAAAATTAGATGTATGTCCATAAAAATGCCCCTTAAAATACAACATAATAAGGTCCAAAGGGCCACAAGGCAAGGCGCTATAAACAACAACAAAAGAAATAAAACCCATGCTACAGTTGATAGCCTGATTGTGAGTGTAGTTAGCCTGGAGAAGCTTTTGATCCCACAACTTCACCTGCTCCCTAACAAAAGAATGCATAAAGTTACCAAGGGGACAATTAAATACCTTCGTTGGACCATTAGTATACGGATCGTTAGCATTCTAAAGCAACCTACTCCAAAAGTGATCGAGAAAGCGAGTGCCCCAATGAGAAACTATAGAAAAAGGAAGACCATGTAGTCGACAAATGTCTCAAAAGAACAAGTGCACAACATTGACTAGATTTTTTTATCACACCATTAACATCTTCATCAAACAACTGCTTTCTATTCCTCTGTTTGGTATTAATTTAAATCATATTTTAATTTAAGTGAAAGTCCAACAATTAAATATTAATCGCATCTTTTATAGGTCTCACAATTTTTCAACCCTACGTTTTACAAACATTTACCAAAATCTACTAAAAATCTAATTTTAAACAGGGACTATGAATGATAAGTTTTTCATGAAAGATTTAATAACCCAAATGGTCACTAAATTTTGTAAAATATTTTCACGGAGTCACTGAACTTTTAAAATCACCCAAGTTATCACTGAACTTTGCAAAAGATTTTTACGAGGTCACTGAACTTTGCAAAAGGTTTTCACAGAGTTACTGAACTTTAAAAATAATCTCATTCTTCACTAAACTTTGCAAAAAGTTTTCTAAGGGATCACTAATTCAGTGATCCCTAGGAATCCTTTTACAAAGTTTAGTGATCCCGAGAAAATCTTTTGCAAAGTTTAGTGAAGAATGTGATGATTTTTAAAGTTAAGTGATCCTTTGAAAACCTTTTGCAAAGTTCAGTGATGACTTGAGTGATTTTTAAAGTTCAGTGGCCCCGTGAAATCTTTTTGCAAAATTCAGTGACCAT